GTGAGCCACGGGCCGGCCCCGGGAAAGACTTTTGCTGGGATAGAATTTTCAAATCGCTTCCTTTGGCCAGCACGTTGCTCGTTCTCTTAATCAGCGTGGCTTTCCGTCCTCTTACTTTCATTGTTCCATCCCAAATTGTTAGGGCTCAACTGAGGGTCTCAAGCTATTTCTTTTTCTTTTTTACAACTAATAATGAAATTTTATTTACTGAATATAGATTGATTCACAATGAAACTTTTGCTACCCTTGGTAAGCTTTTTAACCATTTATGTGACTTCTTACATCTATGTGGTTTTATTTCACAGTAGCAAGAATTCTCTTACCAGAGCGCTTTAACTTGCATAAATAATAAGATGAAAGAAAAATACATGAAGTCTCAACCTTTTGCTTTTGCCTGAACAAAGGACACTACAGACAAGCAGCCAGCCTATTCCTCCTGGCTCCTGCCCAGGCCGTCCTCAGGAGGGTGCTGCTGTTCAGAGACACCAGACATTAGGGAGGATCAAGGGGAGCAGATGACTCAGAGCAGGAACTAAGGTTTAGCTGTTGTAGGGCAACTGCACTTGCTTGCTGAGCTTAGATCTAGGAAGGAAAAACAGCAGCCCCAAGGAAAGGCTTAAACCCAACAGGAGGGACAAGCCTTATCATTGTCTTGTTACTGTGGCTGGGGGATGCAGTTCTACCCTCCTGTGGGAGTTGGCAGATGTTTCCAACAGCACAGGCATGTCGAGGAAGGGGCGGGAGAGCGAGGGGTGGGCCGGCCATACCTTTGAGGGCCTCGTTGATGTAACTGCGGAGGTAGTAGATCCTTGCGGTGTCGCTGAGGTCTTCTCCCCGCTGGGACACTCCATTCTCTGTTACATAAATTGGAGGGTTGTTGTACTCCTCCTTTAACCAGTTCAGGATCCTCCTGAAGCCAAAAGGTGTCATCTTCAGCCAGGAGGAGCCGGAGGCTGGCCAAGAGCGATCTGTGATGGTGGCAACTCCCCTACGAGTTCAAAAACTAAAGATTAGTCTCATTTTGTTAATTCCCAGGGGCCCTTTGCACAAAACACAAACCAAGATTTATATTAGGAAAAGCCTTAGGTTTTGTCTAGACTTGAGTCCTATCTACACCCAGAAAAATAAATCGCCTCAAATTCTCCTCTTTTCACTAGTTCTAGCTGCCCCACTCAGTGCTGGTGTGACTTTGGACAAGCTCTTTGTTCGCGTTCTCTACCTGTGCAGAGGCTGGTCTTGTTCAGGCGCCTACCCCTCCACGCTGTCTGTTGACAGGCAACACCTGTTTGGCTGGTCACAGATCCTTCAAACCCATTCTGGGCAGAGTGGGTCACAAACTCCTCATATTCAGGTTTGGTCACAGTTCCCCCATATGCAGGTCATGAGCTAGGTAATTAGGAAAAGATCCTGGGAGCTGCTAGCAAGGTTGACATGCCTTATTCAGACGTGAGCTCAGCTCCTAGCCTCCTAGTGGTATCAGAGCCGCTGTCCTTTATACTAGAGTCAGATAACTGAGGAACACCTGGGTGCACACACACAATTAATGTATTTATAACAGGCTGAGCCATGCTTGGTCAGTTACGAGTTGAGGGAGTTTGTCTCCATTTTCCTCACAACACCTCACACTAGATGTGAAGGGCTCCTGATGTCCCAGCTCCAGGCTTCCAATGAATGTGAGTGCTATGACTTCAGTAATGGGCTCCCCCAAGTCACTGGGTCACCTGTGTCTACTCAATGCCACACACAGATTGCAGGTCTGCCAAGGCACCAATATTTGTGTAATGACAGGGAGGAGACAGGCTGGGACCCACTTCAAGTGTCCAGAACCCTAACCTCTCTCTCCAGTGATGGACAAGGACAGGGGAACACCTTATGCCAAAGGACCACCTGCTGGGGGAGGACGCAGAGACTTAAATGTCTCGAGAGTCATACATTTCAAATAAGGACTGACATTTCCATACTTATACCCACATC